TTAAGAAAATGAGGTCCTATAATGCCCTATAGTGCAATGTTCCCTGTTCACCAGAAACTGGCTCTTTAGGGGCATCTCATATTTATTCCATGTGCTTATTTTTTGTGGCTGAGTCAGGTCATCTGCAATGTCTCTCTTTGCCTGTTGTAGGCAGCATTTGGTCACTGTGTTGTTAGTAGGTCAATCTGGGGCTGCCTTGGGCTGCAGTTAAGTCAGTCTCACATTTGTGAGAGCTGTGGTGACACAGAACTGCAGCATGCTATTCCTCTGTTAGCCCCTGTGAAACTTTTGTTGGTGGGTGGGGCCTGAACTCAAAGAAGTTTTCTGCTCCCAGCCCACAGCTATAGCCATAGTTGAACTGGTGAGTGTGGTTTGCTTTCCCTGTCCCTTGGGCAGGAGACATTTTGAGGTGGCACTGGCCCCTTAAAAGGCTGCTTGGGCACTGGCACACTTGTGGTATAACTTTGGATGAACTCCTGACAAGGGCATGTTGGATGGGGTGGGTCTACAGAAGAGCTTGAGGGTGTGGTATAATGTTAGTGAGCTAGGTGGATAGTGTTGGTGTTATGTTTATTCCCACAGATATCCATGTACGTAGACTGGGGGAGGGGGAATGGTACCCAGTAGCTCTTTTGTTCTTGGGGATGTCACATAAAGATCCCTGCCCTTCTAGAAAACCCTCTGAAATTAGTAAATAAATCTCTCTCCTATATTCCCCAGGCATTTTTCAAACCGCTAGTTCTCTGCTGTATCTCAGTAGGGCTATTTATTGTGCTCTCTCTTTAAGGGTGGGAACAGGAACAGTTTCCTGTTGCTCTCCAGCTCTCCCAGAGCTGAGCCTGCTTATTTTTAAAGTTCCAGATGTCAAGCTGCCCTGATTGTAAGAACTCCCAAAGTTAGGTTCCTCTTGTTTTCAAAGCCAGATGTAATGGGGATTTGCCTTCCCAGTGCAAGTGCCCTATGCCTGGATCGCCTGATATGGGGTCTGCTACTCTTCCCTCTCAGCACTTGGGATGTCCTTCCCTCCTAAGAAAAGTCCCCTGGGTCAGTTTGGCTCCTGACTGTGTCTCCACCTTTCCTACTCTCTTTGGTGTGGCATCTTCTCTACATTAAGCTGTGAAGTGTTTGCTCTGCTTGTCTTTGGGCCTTTTTCTGGGTTACTTACACTAGTGTGGGTGTTATCTAGATGTATCCATGGCATGAGGTGGGCCTAGGATTCTCTTACTCTACCACCTTCCCAGGAAGTCCTCTGTCATTATTATTTTTTTTTTAATAGCAGCTTGAAGTAGACTGGGTCTCAGACCAAAATGGCAGTTAGTGAGATTGATCTAAAGAATGAAGATTTGGCAAGTAGATTGGAAAAAGAATAAGATAGCTAGAATGTTGACAATGCTGGCAAAAAGGTTGAGATTGAGCAAAGTACTTCTAAAACCTAAAGTACAAAATAGGGGATGAGGGAGTTGGGACAGGACAGCAAGAGAGGGGATCTGTCATGAAGGAAAGATCTGTAGTTCACATTATATGGAAAAAGGATTGATGATAATCTTACACATAGGTGTACTTTGATTAGATTTTAAAAAGTTACTCCAATAATAGGTTAAAGGGGGTGCAACTAGAGGCAGGAATACCAGAAATATTATTTATATTGTTCGTCTTTGAAAGGCTGAGAATATATCTGTCCAGTGACATTACAAGGGTTCTTCAGTGAGAAAACCCATGAATAGGTAAGTTTAGGAGGCCAAGCTGTTGTGTTGTAATCATTGCATATGAGGACAAAAAAGAATCTAGAGTTTCTGCCTTGCATGGCTTTACAGATTCAGGAGGAAGAGTTCAACTATATGAATCAATATCTTGTGCCATTCATATCTTGGGAACTATTCAGAGATCAGATCAATCACTTTGGTTTTTATTAAGATGCTTTGGAATCTGGTACCAATTAGGAAAAATTGGGTATGTATCGGAAGAGTTAATTTTAGGTTGATTAAAACTACAAGGAAGCTCCACAACAGATGTTGGTTGTTAGAATAATTGATGGCCTCTATTATATAGGATCCAAGAGTGGATTTAGGGTTAAGATTGTCTACTTGATGACAGCAGAACACTGCAGACATCCTCTCTTACTGATATTACTCTGAATGTGTTCCAGAGCTCAGGGTAGTTTTTCTGGGAGAAGAGAGTTTTGAAAATAACTTTGGAGGAGGTATATAGTAAGGGGACTCAAGAATCAGTGGAAGGCTGGTGATCGGAGAGCATAAGCAGGGGTAGCTCTAGAGAGGTGTTCGAAAAAAAGGAATCAACAAAGACCATGTTAGAAATAAATGATGGAGAAAACAGAAAACAGCTTTGAGGAGAAGGAATAAAAGTATCATTGACAAACCTAGAGAACAGAACAAGAGGTTTTAATGGGAGAGGCTGAAGGGGTGTAGATGTAGATGTAGATGTCAATAGAGAAGTTTATTATCACTGGTAAGGGGTTTATAGTATAGAAGTGAAAGAAGGCTCTCTTCTGAGATAACTGAGCATTTGACAGGTATCCATTCTTTCTTTCTGCACAAAGTTGTTCATGTTTCTACCTCCTCTCCGCTACTTTTTTTAAACCTATTGAGAGGAATTTGGGAAAATGAATCTTTTTTTTTTTTTTTAAGATTTTATTTATTTATTTGACAGAGACAGAGATCACGAGCAGGCAGAGAGGCAGGCAGAGAGAGTGGGGAACAGACTCCCTGTTGAGCAGAGAGCCTGATGCGGGACTCGATCCCGGGACCCCAAGATCATGACCTGAGCCGAAGGCAGCGGTCTAACCCACTGAGCCACTCAGGCACCCAAATGAATCTTTTTCATTTAAAAAAAAAAAAAAATTCTTCATGTCTGGGAATTTTATAAAAGTGTGGTGCCACATTTTTTATTAGAATAAATCAGGATAATATCCAGATGTATTTGCAAATTAGAAACAAATATATTGCAAATACTTGTTAATATACTACATCGGAAAAGATAATAAACATATATGTAGGTTAATACAAACATAATAAATATTCTTAGACTTTTCAGAGTCTTTCTCTTAGAAGTTCTTTAATAGTAACTATTCAAAAGCACAATAAATTGAATTACTTAAATTAGGTAAAATATGACTCAGTGTAGTAGAATTATAGCCCTATGATTTTAACATGATAATTTCATGGATAATCTGAATGAATCAATAAATTTATTGTATAAATGAAGTTATCTGTAAATATGACTTAAAAGGTGATGGATTTTTGTGGCCATTATTATTAGTTTACAAAATTCCTTACCAAAAGCTATAACATAATATGCAAAGACACTCTACACAGCCTTGAAATTGCTTCATTCTTTTTGAGAGAAGAGACCAGTCATTGGAAACAATCAGAGAAGACTTTTCATTTATGTCTAATCACATGAATCAGTTATATGAGCACTGGCTAAGCAGAATTGTTTCTAAGTAAAGCTTTATGTAAGGGAATTGTTAAGCATTCTTTCTCAGTTTGATTGAATTCTGCTTGATTTTCAATTACCCCTGATATTTTGATATTCTGGGTAATGCCATGTATTCAAATATTAATTATGTAGGAAAAATTCTGTGTTGCAAGTACACATATGAATTTATACATAAAAAGAAAGGGCTATTTTGGGTATGTTTACTTGAAAATTAAACGTTTAGGATGAGTTGTTTGCATTTATCAGTTTTAAATTTTTCAGAACTCAAAATTATATGATATGAAAATCTTTGCAATAGGTCTGACGGATACCTTGTTAACATGGTACAAAGCAAAATCGAGTAATATTTACTGAATTTGTAAACCAAGCTTTTGTCAAGTTTAATAGTTATGGTCATACATTTTCCTGCTATGTAAGGCCATAAATAAAATAAATAAATAAACACACACACATATATACATAATAACAGGTAATATAATGTCACCTAATAAATATTAACATTTTGATTAACTGATATTCCCTAAATTCTCTTATGAGTTGATAGAATCAAATCAATAATTTTGTAGGAGGTCTGTGTTTAAAGATCTGGCTTTTGAATCATTTACAATTTTAGCATTTGTCTTAAAGTACTGGATGATTTTTAAAATAGCACAAAATACACATACCCAGACATTTTTTTCTTTCTTTCTTTCTTTCTTTTTTTTTTTTTGTTTAAATTTGTTGAGGGGTTTGTGGGTTGCATTGCTTCAGGCAGGTGACATTTGTAAACTATTCTTTTCTTTTGATTTGAAAGCATATCTACCCTTCCCAACATAACCCAAATCATTTATTAAATGTTCATTCTGGCAAATAATTAGTGACATGTTTTTCATAAGTTAAAACTTGATCTGTATTTCAAACTTTGCTTTCACTCTCTTAATTTATCATTGTTGATATCAATCGTGTTGATGGGTGCTGCATCTTTCAAATTCTGGCCACTTTTTGCAGTTGCACAATATGTAGGAGTACTTTAAGTTTTTAGAATTTTAAACACTTGAAGTGTGTTAGATTTTTTAAGGATTATAGTAATTACATTGTAGTCATTATATTGTTGTAGTCAGTTTATTATTATGTTAGTTATCCTGTTATATTTTTACAATGGAAAAAAATCTATCTTGTTTTCCAATGTGAACTTTGAAACCTATTGATGGTGATTTAAATCTTTTCAAGTCACACAACTCCAAATTAAGATAACTGTTTAAGATTTTGTCAGTGAATTCTTTTCCAAAAGGAAACATGCATATACAATTCTGTATCGATGTTCTTCCAGGGAATAAATGAGGCATAATATATAATATTTCACAGTTTGTTTATATTTTATTTCAAATTTAAAACAATGCCTCATTAGCACAACAGAACTCCTAAAATTTTTATGGAGGTTTAAGGTGCCTGTTTTGTGTAAACTAATAGAAAGACTGTTTACAGAAACACACAAGTAACAAGAATATTGTGATCATTTCACAAATAATGTCCTATTACAATCTGTCTATTTCTCTTTCCTCTAGTTAACTTCTTCTCCCACTACCTCTGAGCAGCTTGCCTATAAACCACCTGCTTTCTCCTTTGTTTCTCCAACTAATCAGAAAACGCCACCTGACCCAGTTAACCTCGACGGAGCCTCTGTGCTAGAGGAGTTCCACACTAGGAGGCTGGATGTCAGTGGGGCCTTGGTGGAAGAAACAACTACGTATTTTCAAACTTCTGCTCACTCTTCACCCTTTTTTGCACGGAAGGGCACCTCCTCGACGTCACAGTTTCCCCATTTCACTCAGTTATCAGGTTCTAATTTATCCAGTCCGAGACCTGCAGATAAGAAACCTGGACTGGCATCTGAAGTTCCGAAGAAAACAGCTTTCACCTCGCATGTCCTTAGCCCCAGAGAAAGCCCGAGAACCACTTCTCCTTCACCATCCTCCAGTGCTTCTCTGAAGTCCAATTCGGGCTCATATATACCAGTCCGTATTGTCACACATTCACTCTCTCCAAGTCCCAAACAGTTTACCTCCTCTTTCCATGGCTCTTCTTCCACTATCTGTAGCCAAGTGTCATCTAGTGGAAATCTCTCCAAGTCAGGGGTGAAATCCCCAGTGCCTTCCCGGCTTTCCCTGCTCACTGCCATGCTCAAGTCAAACCCTTCTCACCAAAGACCCTTTTCCCCTGCATCATGTCCCACTTTCTCTCTCAACTCCTTGGCTTCTTCCACACTCACACTCGATCAAAAAGCAAAAGAAACCCCGTCTACACCTAAGAAATCTCTCTCTAGTTGCTCCCTGAGAACAGGGTCTCCAGAACAAAGGGAACACCAAGTTTCTGAACTCAGCCAGCAATCGTTTCACTTACCTTTTTTTGCCAAATCTGCTCCCCTTTCTCAGGCAGGCTCCCTCTCTCCCACAACACATGTTGATAGTAGCCTTGTTTCTTTGAATGTAGAGAAAACATCACCCACTTCTTTGAAGAGGAACCCAACATTCTCACTGCTACAGACTAATACAATGAGTTCTGCAGGTCTTCCTCCCATTCCACCAAGTGTTCCTTCTCTTTCTTTGAAGGGCAAACAGGATGTTGACCTCAGGGGTCCAGAAAAGCCGAGGAATATTCACATACATCCTACATCAGCCTCATCTGCATTATCTACTCTATCTCCTCCCGCTAACCAAAGGGCCACACTCTCCTTTCCAGAGAAATGTTTCCATCCTTCCCCAGCTCTTTCAAACCTGATAAACAGATCTAAGAGAACAGCCCCTCAGCTAGCTGACCAGGGACAGAATCCTTCAATTCCTCCTTCACCCCCTGTCTCCAGTGCTAGCTCTGCCTCACTTTCCACACTGGGGTCCTTCCCAGTCCCTCCTGCTACTCTGCCCACCCAGGCAATCCATCTCCATCCCTCAACACTGGACCCAAAATTTGGCAGTGATACCTTGCCTTCAAGACTTGGAAAATCTGAAAGCTCGATATCCAACCACAGGTCATCTGTTTCAACCCCATCACCTCCCATTTCTCTAACAAGATCCAAGGAGCTGATTTCACCTTGTGCGTTGTCCATGTCAACAGGCCTTGAAAATAAGAAACCCAAGGTATTTTTTTTTTTTTTTCTGCACGTTGCATGGTGCATGATAATTTTAAAATATGGGAGAATCTTTTTCTCAGAGGAAAAATAATTATGATCTTCATTCTGCTCCTACATGGAGTTATAGAAAATATAAGTGGGGTGAGGATTTGGTATATTTGAATGTGGAAATGAATTATAATCTATCTAAAAATGTGCATGTTTTGGTAAAACTCTTTGATTTTGCAAATTCTCTTGTTATGTCAATTTCTTATATCTATGAGTCCGAGGGCATTTTTTTTTTCAGGCATAATATGAGTTATATCATTGATCACAAAGATGGGATTTAAAGCAGATAGCTCAGGTTTGAGAATATGATACACCTCTGATTATTTAATTTCATGGACCCTATTGTCTAACAAAATATTCTATACTGATAGAATAGTAGCAGCAGTGTAAAATGGAATAGTGTCCTTGATCTAGGTCCGTATTATTGCCAAGGCAAGTTGAAACCTTTCTATTTCCTTTGCTGACATTCATTTATTATTATTAATTTTTCCCCTTTTACCAAGTTGATTTCTTTACTGCTCCTCATACCCCCTCAAATTCATACCAATATGTATTTAGCTATATACATGTAGGGCAAAAGGGAATTGAAGTTTCTTTTATATGTGAATATTATATTTGATTTATTTTGAACACTATATACTTAGGAATTATGGCAAACAAAAAGGGTGGGTAGGCTGGGTGTGAGGAAATAGAATTGAGACAGGAGAAATACTGACTTCTAAATGATCTGAAGCAACCCACTGAGCAAGAATGTGACATTGGCATTTATTTGTTTTTTACTTATTTTTTAATTTTTTTTTATTCTTATTGAAGTGTAACCAATGTATAATGTTATAGTGGCTTCAGCTGTACAACAAATTGATTCAACAATTTTATGCATTGCTCAGTGCTCACTGTGATAAGTGCCATACAGTACTGTTTAAATATTTTCTGTGCTGTACTTTCATCTCTGTGGCTTACATATTTTATAACTAGAAATTTATTCTTCTCCTCCGAAAACCACCAGTTTCTTCTCTGTATTTAAGAATATGGTTTTTTGTTTGTCTTTTGCTTTGTTTTGAGATTCCAAAATAAGTGAAACAATAGGGTACCATGCACTGTTGGTGGGATTATAATTGGTATAGCCACTGTGGAAAATAGTATGGAGGTTCCTCAAAAAATTAAAAATAGAATTACCATATAATCCAATAATTCCACTACTGGATATTTACCCAAGGGAAAAAAAATCTTAATTCAGAAAGATAGAGGCACTCTTAGTTTATTGCAACATTATTTATAGTAGCCAAGATATGGAAACAACCTAAGTGTCCATTGACAGATGAAGGTATAAAGATGTAATACATACACACACACACACACACACACACACACACACACACACACAGAGGAATATTATGCAGCCACAAGAAAGCATGAGATCTTGCCATTTGCAACAGTGTAGATGGACCCATAAGGTAATTAGGCTAAGTGCAATAAGTCAGACTGAGAGAGATACCATATGGTTTCACTGATATGTGGAATCTAAAAAGCAAAAGAAATGAAGAGAGAAACAAACAAAAAGAAGAATCAGACCTGCAAACACAGAGAACAAACTGATGGTTGCCAGAGGGAAGGGGGGAGGAAGATGGGCAAAATGGGTGAAAAGGAGTGGAAGATATAGCCTTCCAGTTATGGAATGATTAAATCATGAGAATAAAAGGTATAGCATAGGGAATATAGTCAATGATATTGCACTAGTGTTTTTTGGTGACAGATGGTATCTACACTTGCAGTAGGCATAGCATAACAGAGGTGTTGAAGCACCATGTTATACACCTGAAACTAAGGTTAGCACTGTGGGTCAACTATATTCAAATGAAAACACTTAAAAAAGAAAAACCCTGTACTCTGGAGACTGGCATTTATCTTAATGTGAGAAGGGAAGTATTTGAAGGTGTGATCCATAGAGTTCATTTTTCCTGGTAGAAGAGCATCTCTGCTCTAGAACACACCAGCTTCCCAGCTATTCTCAAATAATTAGGATGTGATGCTATAGAACCAGAGTTTGGTTATTGTCATATAAATAAAATAAAATCATGAAAGTGCCTGTAGTAGGAGGGGGCTGTGATTTTAAGTTCATTGCATTGAAATAACACAGTTTGAGAGCTTCTGAATTCCATGGAGATTGTGTTCAACTCTGTTACTATTTGAATGACGAAGTTAAGATGGAAAAGATAAACAACACACAGGATCTTGTTAAGTTAAACTGTATTACGACATCATTAACAAACATGTAGAAAACACCTGCTGTATGCCCCCCACTATACCAGCTTTTCTGGGGGATGTATGTTTGTGTGTATGTATTTTTTAAGGAAAGTAAGCAGCAGTCCTTTGTCTATAAAAAATTAATTTTTTTTTCCAGCAGGAGGAAATACACATATACATAATATGGAGGAGCTATATAGGATTATTAAATCTACAATAAAACTAGAGAACAAGTTTAAGGCAATATTAACATAGCAAAATACAGATGATATATAGTTATTCACTGAATTCAATATAATAGAAGTATTATTATGGGGGGTGGCTAGTGAGGGAAATTATAATAAATGTCAGGCCTGTTGGAAATGTTTAGGATTTAGCTTAATGAAGAGGAAAGGAGCTAGCATTTCAAAAACAGTAAATAACCTGACCAAGTTTACAGAAGATAAACCCAGTAGAGTATATGTAGAGACAAAAAAAGATTGGCCTTATCATCAACTACTGATAATTGTAATAATAATAATTATTATTTTCACAGATATCACATGCTTTCTGTGAAGTAAGAACTATCCTATACAAAATATACAAAGTAGTTAAAAATTAATTAAAAGAACTACATCAGTTACTTTTTATGACATTATAAACTTGGTAATATTTTCTCCATATTATATACCAAAATGCAAAAGCAATGACTAATATTAATTATCATTTTAGCCAATTTAGTAATTCTCATGAAGGAAATCATCATAATGGAATAGTCAGAATTATCAATTTCTATAATGTTTGGGTCATTTAAAAATGTATTTTTAGAGATTAAGTCCTGGTATTTTAAACTTTCAAAGCAAATGGGACAGAGAAAATCTAGCATTTTCTATAATTCTAAATTTAAATATCATATTTGAGGTAAAATGACCTGGTAATTATCTTTTCAATACATATGTGTGATTATGGAATTCATTTGTGGTATATTAAAAACAACCTGGTGATGTAAACATTACTGTCTCCTGAATTTATTAACAATTATTTCTTAAACCATAATGCCATATGCTTAAATTATTCATTATCTTTATGAAAAGTGATTTTACTCCAGAGGCTTCTTTGAAGTATTTCTGTTTATGGTTCACTCTGCTTTGTTCACATTTTGTCCTATTTTTGGAGAGATGGAAGAGGGTGAGCTCAGAGAGCTTTTAATCAAGTCAAGGTCTTTTTTGTCCTAAAATCAAGTTTGTTGAAGATCTGTTCTCCCCCAGCTCACTTAACTGCTCCCAATATTGAAGAATTTTCAGCATTTGCCTTATTATTGGCTTTATTTTTTAAATTTCCAAGTTAAAAAATGCAGCTTGTAGAAGTGCATGATAAATCTGATAGACATAAAAACATGAAGAGTAATTATAACATATCCATTTTTACCTGTTTTTTGAATAAAAAATGTTTCTTATAATAGGAAAAATTTATGATAACTTCTGCAAAAATAGTTGCTCTCTGAGACATACTGTTCTTAGTTATATGTATCTCTTCCTTGCTTCTTGCTATTATCTCTCCAGGTAAAAATCAGTCTACATTTCTTTTTTTATTGCAAACTATTATTTGTAGAAGTTGTAACAAGCATAAAAATGTATTAAAATGGACACTGGAATAGATAAATCTTATCCCAGTTTCCTTTGATGTTTGACTAGTTATGTTTGAATTGCTAAGATTATTTCATAGATTGATAAGAGGAAATAGACAAAAGCTTTGGGATATCAAAGAATTCATATGTGTCTATGGATTGTTTCTTGTCTTGCTCCTTCCACTGTGGTACTAATCCAAGCACAAGGCTCTCTTTGAAGTCAAAGAGCTTCAGATTTAGATCAGCTTCACTCAGTGCCAGATCCCAAAAGAAAAGAGGTCCTAGAATACAAATGGCCATCAAATTAAAACCTGAATGCTTCAGGGGTATTAGTTCAAAGTGTGGGCCCCACTGTCCTTTGATATTGAAATAAAATGGAACAGCTAGAGTACACTGAACTAAATTTAGATATGAAGCATATTTGATATTTCTTTTTCGTAGATAGAATCTTAAGGTTCTGAATCTGTTTGCATTAGTACAACTGGTATACTTTAATTTCACATAATGGTTTTAAAATATTATTTCGCATAATAATCATGGCCCTAGATAGGATGAGCATCTACCTGAAGGTTGCTCAGTTTACTCTTTGATTGACATCTATATTGTTGAGATGTTTCTGTTCCTTGGGAAAGCCTGGATATCATAAAGCTAATTCCTGGAGTTGTATTTGAGTTCCCAACATATTTGGTCTTCATTTATAAAATACTTTAAAATTTTCTACTAGTGAATTATCGTGGTATTCCATATAGGGATTTGAGGACATTACCTCAAAACTGCAAACATTTTGCCACTTACTGAAGGTGGCTTGAAGTTTTTTTCTAACTATGAGGGCTCCAGTGGCATGCTTGCCCTGGCCTTAAATAGCTTGGGAATCAATTGAGAGCTTTTTAATATTTCATGAACTTTTATAGTTGGTGTTTTTTTTTTTTTTTTATAAACTCTCATTCCTTGAAGACATCAAAGCATTTCCAAATACGTCACACCAAAAACTTGGGGACAACAGTCTCTATGTGATTTTCTCCATTTCTGCTGACCACTTATAATTAGGGAAATGAGTAATAATGGAATGTACCTCCATGAGCTAAAATAGTCGATGTGATTCAAGAAAATCATTCACTCATTCAATAGACATTCACTGAGTGCTTATTATGTGCAAGGCACATTTCAAAGCCATGAGGAGGTTGCAACAAAATAAAATTACAAAATGCTTGCTCATAGAAAGTTTACATTCTTGGGTGGAACAGAAGAAACCAGCAATTACCATTACCACCTCCCCATTGCTGCAAGTAAATTTTCTTGTGCCTTAGAAGGTCATACATGGTACGGAGAAAAGTATAGTGGGGTAAGGCATAGTGTCACAAATTAATATTGGGTGGTCAGGATAGGTTTCTTTGGGAAGGTGACATTCATAGACGTGATGCACCTTAAGAGAGTATAGTTAGAAAAAATACCTGATGTCAGATAGTGCTTGGCAAAGATAGGCGAGCCAAAGTGGCAAGAATGGAGTTAGTCTGAGGAATTTGAAGTTGTCAGAGACATGTAACTGCGAGCTGGGGCCTGTGAGGTCTTGTAGGCCATGTCTTAGTCTTTGCTTTTTAATTTAAGAAGCTGGTGGATAGTTTTGAATAGATAATTGGCACAATCATGTCTATCTGGCTGCTATGTTAAGAATAGACTAAGAGGGTGAAAGTGGAAGTAAGGAAACCTTAGGAGTCTGTTGGATCAATCCAGGCAAGTGAAGATGATGGCTCTGGTGAGGTTCTAGTGGTGAAGCTGAAGGTCATAAATCTATACGTATTTTATAGGGAGGGTTAACAAACATTCACAATCATATGTGAGATGATAAAACAATTGCAACTAGATATATGTATTCTCTTGTTTTCTTTTTCTCTTTTTGTCCCATTGTTTTGTACTCTACCTCCTCCACATAATTTTTGGTGCCTTTGTGGAAATCCTAGATTTTCTAAGACTCTCCCACTCCTGCTATCTGTTGCTTACATCTATGTACTAACCAATTCAGGGTCTCATTCCCTTTGTTTTTCTCCAGCTAATTTTTCTGAAATGAGCTTAGTAGTGATTCACACTCAAGAGTCAGTGTTTGACAAAACCTCCTTGTTTTACCCCTTGAGGAATATTTTCATTTTAATTCAAGGAGGGGCTTTTGCAGTTTAATTCAAAAGAGGGATTTTTAAAAAATAGGGATTTAAGGTCATGAGTTCAAATCTTAGAAGCTCACATCACTGATGTGAACTTTGAAGTTTCACATCCAAAACTAATATTAGAAAAAATAGAAATGCCTTTAGGGCATACTTGGAAAGAGGAAGAGGATCGCCAATCAGTCAAGTGTGTCTAAGACATGAACAGTAGATGAGGAACTAAAATTTTGGTTCTCCATGCCCTATAAATCTTACTGTAATTTTCAATAAAATACCTTGGTTTAAGTCAACAAATATTTGCCAAATATCTATTCTTTACTAAGTTAGTATAAGGTATTGGAAATAATAGAAAATATCTTCTCCAAAAGACCTATCAGGTTAATAGGGATGTCAAAATATTGTAATACAATAATGTTTAGAGTACTAGAAACATACAAAAGATAAACCAACCATGGAGAGGGGTCCTATGAAGACAGTTGTGCAGGGAAATTTCCCCCCCTTCTCTTCCCCACTGCTTCTGTTCTCAGGATCATTATAGAGAAGATATTCTGCCAATAATTCAGATGTAAGGAAGATATCAGGGCAATTTCCTTCTGTGAGTTGAATTAGGGCTTGAGTTGAGCTTTTGCCTCAGGGAGATTCTGACTCAGGCACTGCAGGCATGGTCACTGATGAGCAGAAAGTGTACATTTGGAGCAGTGCTCTCATTTCTACTCATGGGTGCATCAGAAGGGAGAAGTTGGCCATAGTGGTAGGGAGGCTCTTTGCCAGGGTTCCCTCTTATTGTTCATGTTATCTGAGATTCTGCCCTTCACCAATACTTAAAGTGTAACCATGAGTTCAAATTTCTAATTCTCAAGGCAACTAATATAGTTTGCTTTGAGATCTCATGGGCCTTTATTACTGGAGCCGGTGGTAGAATTTTAGGCATTAGCAATATCTAATAGGATAGTGGTGAGAGTATTTTCTGAAGGGGAAAGATGTGTGGCTGTCCCCACCTTCATACCCAGGATTTATGTTACAGTTATCTAGGATAAATAGTATTTATAAATAGGGTTAGCTCTGATAAACTAATGTAGTAAAATAGCATTTCCTTTTCTAAACCTAAAATTTTACCCTGCACCTGTCATGTAGTGGATATTTAGGAAATATTTATTGGGGGTGCCAGGGTGACTCAGTCAGTTAAGCATCTGACTCTTTTTTTTTTTGTAAAGATGTTATTTATTTATTTGACAGAAAGAAAGAGATCATAAGTAGGCAGAGAGGCAGGCATAGAGAGAGGGGGAAGTAGGCTCCCCGCTGAGCAGAGAGCCCGATGCGGGGCTTGACTTCAGGACCCTGAGATCATGACCTGAGCCAATGGCAGAGGTTTAACCCACTGAGCCACCCAGGTGCCCCAAGCATCTGGCTCTTGATTTTGGCTTGTGTCACGATCTTAGGCTCATGAGATTGAATTTCATACTGAGCGTGAAGCCTACTTAAGATTTTCCATCTCCCTCTCCTTCTGTCCCTACCTCCACATGGGCTTTCTCTTTCTTAAAAAAAAAAAAAAAAAAAAAAAAGAGAGAGAGAGAGAAAAAGAAAAGAAAAAATATTTTTTGAATGTTGAGCAAAAGCATAGAGTACAAATTGGAGAGATACAAAATATTATTGAATTTTTTGCTGGATTCAGGGTAGGCTGGTCAGTTCTACCTTCTATGATCAGCTGATGGTGATTACAGCCTATAACACTAAAACCTACTATTTAAGTTATACTTACATTGACTAGAGCGATTTGCAATTTTAAACCAAGCAAAGGAAACCAATGAATTTAATTTAACACCTCGGAAACTTGGAATGCTAAAGAAGAAATATGTTTCAAATTAGAATATTGTTAAAAGAAACCTAAAGAACTATAGTGAACCCAAAAAGTATCTCTAAGGTCAACAAGAATGATTTTCACACTGAAAAGAAAAACCACATATGTCTTAAATTCACATAAAGGAACTAGAAGGAAACATCTATCTGTTCTAAATTCATATCTCCTGGTCTAGATAAATTGTGCCTCAAACAGATGAAATTTCTACTTCTATTGTAAATGATAGGAAATAGAGGAGATTTGCTGGAAAAGAAGTGAGCCATATGTTTTATTTTTCACGAAAAAAGGGAAGGTAAATTCTGAAGATGATTATATTCTTGTGATTGTTATCAAAATCAGTTATAACTGGAAGTCAGACATTTTCTTCAAGCAAGTAATGCTTATTGAATTGCTTTCCAAGTTCCAGCTTTTGTGATGTTTTTCATGATATCATGAATAAGGAAAGGTATGTGAGGTATAAGGGCATATTTCTGTGAACTCACATTTGTTCTGAGTGCCCATTTTAACACATCCTTGAGGTCACTTTCTATTCCAACACACTATTTGAATTTTCTGCGAATTATTTATCTCTCCATGACTTTTCTTTTGATTTCTCATTTCTTTGCTTATAGTTTGTCTCTGTTTATTAGGGTATAAGCTCTAGAGAGTAAGGCTTTGGATGTTTTGTTTACTGCTGAATCTCTAATACTTAGAACAATGTAGGTCACAAAGTAGGTGTTCCATAATATTTTGTTGAATGAATCAATTAGTTGAACTGTCATAAATAAATAGAGTTACAGGATAGATTGATATCCACCAGGTTGGTAGGACCCAGGAGGTAAGAGTTCTCCATCCTTGGTATATGACTTGACTGATGACAAAAAAGACTTGCCTAACAAGATGGTTCATGAAATAATATAAAAATTATTATCTTCATAGTTTGTAATAAGAAACCAAAACTAATCAGATGAAGCCGGATAGAGATAATGCGTGAAGTACAGTTTGGCATCTAGAGAAAAAAAGCATAACTACATGACGGAATTTAATTTCAATGAATGTTAAAGAAAAAAAGATGAAAGCATTAGGGAATTAGCATACTCGGTGTGATCCAACAATAGGAAATGACTCTAACTTCCCTCTCTTGTATATTCTAAACTGACCGCAAAAGCCGAGGAGACCATTCCAGTTAGTATCATCTTCATTGTATTAATTGATTTTATTGTCAGTATCTTCAAGGTGATGATTATATTCTACTTTGTGTTAAAAATACATCTAGTTTAACACACACCTTTTAAAAAAAGATTTTATTATGTATTTATTTAGGGAGTGAGTACGTGAGTGAGGGAAAGGGGAGAGGGAGAGAGTGTCCCAAGCAGGCTCCATGCTTAGTGTGGAGCCCGACATGGCCCGATTTCATGACCCTGAGATCATGACCCAAGCTGAAATCAAGAGCTGGACACTTAATTGACTGAGCCAAGCACCCCAACACACCACTTTTCAACATTTGTAAAGGAATATTGACAGAAGGTGATGAGGATAGTGACATTCTTCAACTGAGGATCAGTAAGGAGAGGTGTGGTGGAAACAGCTGTACAACTATTGTGCAGAATTGAGCTCTTCACATGTGTCATCATTCCAAGATTGGTAGAAAGGACCAATGGAGTAAGTTATCAGGAAGCATATTTTGGCTCAGTATAAGGGAGATTTTTTTTTTTTTTTTAAAGCCACTTCTTAAAATTAGGCCGAACATGCTGACTTGAGAGGTAGGCAAGAGTTCATGTGGTAGCTGAACAGAGGATCAATCAGAGAGTTTCATGTCTTGGATGAGAGGGTTGAACCAGATGCCCTTAATATCACATCTAATTCTAAGACTGTATGGCATTATGTGTGCAGTAACAGTATATCTGTCTGTATAGGCTTGTCCAAGTATATACTCCAGGGCAGTTGGGGATAGGAGAACTGAAAATGTAAGTGACTGTGTGTCCTGAAATGAGAGGCAAGTGTCTATCATAGATAAGTGCATAGCTGTTGACTGGCGTGCCTGCATCCAAATCCCAATTATGACTTACTACCTAGTGGCCTTGGATAAGTTATTTAACATCTGTATACTTTAGTTTCCATATATAAACTGAATGTGATTAGAATCTATCCAGTAGGGGTGCCTGGGTGGTTCAGTGGGTTAAGCCTCTGCCTCAGCTCAGGTCATGATCCCAGAGTCTTGGGATCAAGCCCCGCATTGGGCTCTCTGCTCAGCAGGGAGCCTGCTTCCCCTCTCTCTCTGCCTGTCTCTCTGCCTACTTGTGATCTCTGTCTGTCAAATAAGTAAATAAAAATAAAATCTTTAGAATCTATCCAATAATTTGGTTGTGATAATTAAATGAGATAATGTACATAAAGCTTCTAGAATGGTACCTGGCTCATAGTGAGTGTTAGCTATTATTATTATTATTAAAACTATTGTTATAATTAAGTATCTATGAAATCATCATGGAATAGTAATGATATATTCTATTACATATTCTTTGTCTGCCTAGGTATTCTTTGAGAGAAAATATTATCTCATAGAGAAAGCATGGATATTGGATCCAAACAGGTCTGGGTTCCAAACCTGTTTCTATTCTTTACGGGCTGTGTATCTTAGACAAGTCACTTAACTGTACTGTGCCTCCCTTCCCTAATGGTTCTTTAGGGAAGGGAGTAAAATTAAATGAGGCAGTGTATATAATTTGTCTGGTCCTAAGTGCCAGCTATTACTCTCCACAAAGAGATGGCATTTCGTTTTCAGTCCTTATCCAGAATATGTCATATGGAGACTATAGCAGTGCTGGGTCAATATGGAGACAAGGGCTTGAAGGCACCCGAGACTTTTCCCCCAGGCCTGGCATTTTTATTTTTCTCTACCTCATCTTCTTCGTAAGGAAAATGAATGTATTACTCCCCCTTCCTCACATCATTTTAATGGAAGATTATATCAATTATATCCATAAAATTCAAGGATTTATTTTATTTGACTATCATGTCTTCTGTGATCCTGTGGTCTGCCCAGGGGACTAAGATGGCTTGGAGTCCTCTACCAACTTCTAGCTGGCTCTGGACGCCTGGGGAAGCTGTCTGAGACATAGGCTTTTGAAGCGATAAGAGCCTTGACCTTGGTTAAGCAGCATGGGACCCAGAGAAATATCAAAACCAGGCTTTTGATTATGCATAGTATCCTGATTTATACAGCTTCCTCATGCTCCACCCTCTCTTTCAAATACTGCATGAAACTGAACTATATTACTCTGCATTTTATTTAAAACTCAGGATGTTTTGTCATTTGATTCATCAATATCATTTCATTAGAAAGAGCAGGAGATGATGAAGCTTAAAAAAGTGAATTGAAGATCAAAAGTTTGGCCTTTGAATCTTTTTCATTATGGAGTTAAATTGCTGATATTACTTCTATTCAAAATATGCTACTTATTAAACATTACTGCTAAATTTTATGTATTCTGACCCTTGTTTTTACGAATGATGCAAGAGAATGTATCAAGAGTTCAATTAGATTTGTTGGCATAACATTTGTAAATTATGGCACTATAAAAAAGAGCCCCTTTCCTTTGAGAATTAAGCAAAACAAAAAAACCCCACCCACATTTATAGACTAGTAGTACTCCTATGGGGGGTACACACTGCTTATGAGAAATTTATAAGTAACTTTGTAGAAATGGATGTTTTTAAGTTCTGAAACTGTATAGCACATAATTGCCTATAATCCCTAGACTGATATTTTACTGTGATATTCCTTTGTTTCTCATTCTAATAAAATATTAACATGGTAAGCTAATTTTTTCTGTTAAAAACAAGTTGTAATAACTGTTTTCTTCATTTGATAACGTGTCATTTAACTTGGCAGACCTAGTCTAAAATTATGTTCTATTCTTCCCCCTTTTCATCTCCACTCTTGCTTTCTGGTTACTCATTCTAGCAATACAAGACCAAGTCAAGCTACAAGGCTTTTGCAGCAATCCCTACAAACACATTGCTTTTGGAACAGAAGGTCAGTGTTGGCTCAAAAGCAGAGGGAATTTTATGTTTCTAGTGTCATTTTGTTATGTGTTCTAAAATGGTTGTTTTGAAGTTCTGCTTTTACTAAAACGTTGCTCTTAGTTTAGGGTCTCATGATGAAAGCATCTCGGTGAACAGAATTTGAGACATCATTGATTTATCACCAGAGGCTCAATATGGGCTTAGAATTGTCCAGTCCACTGTAAAGCAGGCCTAGGAAACTTGATTCGGATTTAGAGAGATCCCTGTTCTCTGGAATTTTAAGAGCTTCCACCTCTTTTCACATTGATCAAAATGGGGTTACATGAGGGCAACTGGCCAGTCAATACTTGGTGACTAGTAGTGGTTTCTACAGGGTAGAAACATGTTAGCTGAGTATCCAGCTTAGCTCCTTAAATCCCAGCATGGGCTAAACCTCTTTGGCTGTTCTCACCAGCCACTGATGCTACGTCCATGAATGGGAGGGAGGTCCGAAATCACTTCCAGTGACCCAGCTGCTTTCACATGCCTCTAGGGCATTTTTGCTTTGCTATTAAGAGTCATCAATTATAAAATTACAGGATTCTGCTTCAGTAGGTAAATTAAATTAAAGCCTCTTGTTTAATAAGCGCATTACATATGTTCAAATGAAGGCCAAATGCAGGATTATATCAGAATCGAAGTGAAATCAATTCCCAAGTCGAAGAAATTACTCATTTCATGTTATTTTTATATTTATTTAGGTAATCTATCTCAGTGTATTAAGCCTATTTTTTTTTTCCTGTGTAATTAGAGTGTTTCAAATGCTGTTATTATCATTTGTCGAAATGTTAGTGTTTGCCAACCAGGTGTATCTTAAACATTGGTTTATGAATTTACTTTCTTGTTGTTTTAGTATGATCTGGGTAATGAAATCTTTGCATAATCTCTTATTTAAACCGTAGGAATCATTAGTGGAAGATACTCAGTAGCATGCAGATGGGTTTTAGTGGGCAGCATCTCTTTTATTCTAATCTCTGGTAACTAACTCGGATTTATCTACATGTGGTCCAGAGTCCATGTTTTATATTTGTGAACGCTTCCAGCTGGGGAGCTGAGGAGTCACCGGACTGCAGAGAGAGAGATCTGCCACTTTTTCTCTAGCTTCTCTTCTGAATTTCTACCTTTTATATAGCCCAAGAAAAGATGAGATGGGCCTAATCACTGATTTCAGGAGGCTCAGGAGGATTCAGGAAGTGACCATTTTAGCAGTGGTCCCTTATCCTATTATCTGGGGCTTTTATGTTGAGTCATAGTGCAGTGTTTTCTCAACGGCAGACTCTGGGCCCATTTCAGATGGATTTTTGTGAGATATGGTCACAGTGTCTGACCCTACAGAAGTGGGAGAAACTCTCCTCCTCAGCAGCCAGGAGAAGTAAATAGGGGCCTGGTGGTTTCCCTCCATCATACTTGTCTCACCTAACCTAGTACATTATCATGTACCTGTGGGCTACCACTATATTAGTTTTCTATTTAGAAAAATTAGAGTTAATTGTCCTTTAAAGATGTTTGAAAGGAAAGGCTGGATGTCATTATTGGTTCCAGAATCTCTGTCTACTAGCTCTCTTCTCTTCCAAGTAAATGGATTTTAGAGATTATCATCTATTAGTTAGTCATTCAAAATGAAGAATCATTAATTTCCAGTATCATCATAAACCTATTTCATAAATGTATATGATAATATCACTGTGTATTGAACCTAATGTGAGTACATATAGGAGGGGTTTTTTTGTTTTGTTTTGTTTTTGTTTTAAATTTTGAATAAGACAGACTCTATGGGAAAATTTTGAATAAGACAGACTCTATGGGAAAATATAAATATCATGACGTCAAACTTACAATAGTTTTTTCTAGGGAGACTGACTACTGTATAAACACTAGGACTGACTATTGTATAAGCACTAGTCTCTTGGCTAAGAGAAATTGGTTTTGGGCCACAAATATATGAATTGTTCGAAGATCACAAGATATGACGTATGTTTGTTTTTTCTTTAGAACCTTTGTATAATCTATTTTTTTGAGGGGGCGCTGGCTTTTCTATATTGTGTGTTGCTCCATGAGAAACTTTAATTTGTAAGGATTTTTAAAGGATTTTTAAATAACAAAAGTCTAAACTTGATATTTTATCAGCATTTATTTCTATATTCACTAAAATTAAATATTTCCATGTTCCTTTCATGGTGGTAGTTTTAAAAAAAATCTGGTAATTTAGGTCTTTTTATCCATTTGTTTATATAATAGAACCCAGCCTATGCCATTAAAATCAAAGGGACTTATTTCTGAATTGAGTGGGAAAATTAAGACTCTAATTGTCAGAAATTCTGTTTTGGGAAGAATTAACACTTTGGAATATTTTCTGAGACCCCTTTAATATCACACAGAACATCACAATTAAAGAGAATGGGGATGCTGCAGTGCCATTATAATGTTTGGTTAGGGTCTATGCTGTGGATTGCCTTAAAAATAGAACTAATCAATTTAATTTAGACAGTTTAATAATTATCCCCTCCCAAACACATTAAACTCACAGTTGATGTTTTATACCACATTTTATTTTATAGTATATGGTATAATGAGGAACTGGAATCACTTTAAGAAATAAAACTATTTTTAAAAGCAAGATTTTCTCCAAATTGAAGTACAGGCATCCCTTTCAATCACATATTAAGCTATTATTGAATCACTGGATTGGTTTCAGCTTTAATCACCCCTAGATGAAACCCATCATTTTCCAAAGAGTACATTTTGTTGGCAGGAGACATGAGGTTTCTGGTAGTTCTGTTCTGTAATTTATTGTCTGCATCAAAACTTAAATTTATAGCTTATTCTGTATTCTGTAATTTTTTCTCCCCATGAACATTTAGGAGGAAAGCATTTTTAGCTTAAGCATTAACTAAGGCTTTATAGGAAGAGATAAATGTGAGGCGTATTTTAATGTGTTAGTTTCAGAGTCTTTGGCTTCATCTCCAACCAATAATCATCTTCTCCAAGATTGAGATGAGGATGAAATACAAGTGATTATAAAGCAGGAACAAAGTAATCAGATCAGCTTGTGTTTGTGACTACCCACAAACTTTATTACGACATGTTCAACAATATTGTAGAGGAAATAATTTTGAAATGGACATTACTTTTTAGGCTTGCTCTGTGTGCTTCTGTTCAGAGAATGTTAAAGATCTTACTCTCTCTTACTGACTAATTTTTCTTCTTATCATATGAGTCTGATAGCAATAGGTACAAAGTGAAAATTAAACATTCTAAATAAATGGCTTTTTATTTTTATTTTGAAATTATATTAAGGAAAGGAAACATAGAGAAAGGAATATTTCCACGATATAAAACAGTGTGCATTCTTATTGTTTCACAAGTGATTCATATTTTTCCATGAAATATTTTCCATGAAAGCGTATTTTTTAAAGCAATTTGAGTTCTCCATTCTTTTCTTCACAAGTATTTCTCAGGATAAAATCAAGGCTAGAGTTAGGTGCCATTTTCTAACAAATGGCATTGTTATCTGCCATTTTCAAGACATTTTTAATTTATAAGCTATGTGAGTTTGAAAGAAGGATAATAGAGTAGCTCAATTCTATAAATTGCACATTTAAATTATAGGGTTAATTATTTAAGTAAAAGTTAATATAAAAATTGTTTTATTTTTTCCCAATGGAAGGAAGTTAAAGAATAGCCATTCTGAAGACAGTTGTAAAAATCGTGCTATAGAAATGGAAAGGTGAAGATTCGACATGTCTTGTCGGTTTTTAAATCAATTTATTCTAAATTGCCAGCTTAAAATTTTAAAGCATGAGTTGGTAAACTTTAATCTGATTAAACATATGTCTTTGGGTGAGATATTTTAAGATCTCTGCATGTCTCAAAAATCTAACAAAATCTGGTTGCTAGCTTAGCATATGGCCTATACTAGAGAGGCATCTCTTAATTGATTAGTACAAGGAAATGTGTTCCCATTTCTCTAGCAATGGAAAAATGCCCAGGACCCAAATCTATTCCAGTTGGTTCTCCTCAGGCAGTTGTAGACCATGCACGTGTCTCTTTTAAAGTCCTTACCAAGCCATATGTAATTATACATGTTGGTAGCTTTTTTTTCCTACTATGAACTATTTGAGGGAATATAGTAGTTTTTTGTTAGGTGTTCATTGAATGAATTACTTTGTTTTGCAGCTGAGTAGGTCACTAAAATGTCCAATTTTATTTCATAGGATTTTAAGGCAAATTTTTGCTCATAAAATTATAAAAATTAAGGACCCTAATGTATGATAATTTGGGCGATGATAATTAAGAATCCTTCTTTAGGGTAGAATAAAATTCATCAATTCTATTTAACATGTAAAAGCTATAAAAGACCTTCTACTATGAGGGAAGTAAATTGATTTTAGACCTGGTACCTTTTAACAATTCGAAAATACAATCACAATGGCTTCCATATTGAACATTCTGGTGAATCAGACACTGAGCTAAATGTTTTGCTATCCTTACAATTCTGTGAAGATTTTGATGCTCAAAGATGCCAAGTAAATCCCACAAAGCAGCAAAGCTATTATGTTGCTGAATTGGACCTTATATGATTATCTCCCAGCCTTTTCCTGTTTACCATGCAAGTGACATCAACTAGCTGAAGTGAAACACTGAGCAAGAAATGATGATTTTGGATTTCTGTCTACAATCCTTTTTTTTTCATTACGTGCTAAAATATATTAAAATCCTCATCAAATTAGAGCAACAAAATTTTTTGTTTTTGTTTTAGTGAAAAACAATGAAAGAGAATGGGAAATGATTTAACCCCGAGACTTGAAAGTTTACCAACCAGCTCTGACTCCTTGAGTTGCTGAGATGAGTCACATTCCAATGAAAGAGGTTAGAGCCGGAAGCAAGGCACACCTTTCTGACGTCCTTGATTAAATGAAGGAAAAATATGAATTCTCCTGTTATTGAACCTTAATGAATGGTTTTGAAATA